TTGGCCCCGCCCTTGGGCCGCATGGTTGGAACGGAAACGGCGTACGTTAGGGCACCGGGACGGGGCGCACTGGTGGCACCGATGGTCCTTGGTGGCCTAAACCTGGCGCACTCAGGTTTGGCCCCGTTAAACTGGCCCCCCAAACCTTGGTGGGGAAAAGGGGGTTACCCCAAACTGGGGGGAACCAAAATTGGCGCCCCCAGGTTTTGGCTTTTGATTTTTGGCCCCTTTTTAAGGTTTGGGAACCCCCTGGGAACTGGGGCCAATATCAATCGCCCCACCCTTTTCTATAAAAATTAAAGTTGGGCTTTTAAAATTGGTAACACTTTAACCCAAAAACCCAAAAATTTGAAAAGGGTTTTGCCCCCTTAGATTGTTTTTAAACCAATGTTAAAAACAGATGATTTAGCAAGTAAGTACAAGATTCATAAATCAAGTTTCAAGAACAATTGCAAGTATATATATAATCAAACAAATACTGAACTATTTCGATATAGGAGCATCTTTTGCAAGAGTTACGGTATTAAGAAAGAAGCCAAACAAAATTCTAAACAGATATTGGTCCTTGAGAGTCTTGCATTATTAAATTCCGGATAGAAAATCTCTAAGATAAACAGAGAAAAAGCAACTTGTACACAAAATAGCCTGACTGTGAAACATTGATTTTTTTCTTCAAATATCAGTAAATATGGCGCCATATGAAGACCGAGAAATAGTGCATTAATGTGTTTCTGCATGTAAAAATTGCCCTGCTGCGGTAAATGTATATCTCCTGTGGTAAATGGTAATTTTATGCTATAAGTTTACCACATTAAATATCTTAAACCGACTTGCCCATTTTTTTTTTCAATCTGGACAAAAATATTCATGATTTTTATGAAAAAAAAATTCAAAAAATAATTTATACCGACTTACTAGCAAACAGCGCAGCAAGTGACCAGACCACACCAAGATTGTAGCCTGCTGATTTCGGTCTGCACCGGCTCTGCACTAACATATACATTGCATTTCATCACTTGATTATGCATGGAAATTTTGTCCAAAACCATGTTTTCTTTGATAAATATTACCCAATTTTGGCTGATGAGGAATTTCCATAAATTCAGCCGAAGCAGTAAGAGCTAAACATACATAATTTCATTTGCCTCATGTTTTAAATCGTATCACTACTTTCAAGAATTTTTTTCAAAATTTTCTTCAATTTTCTCTCATAAAATCATAATTCTATACAGTATAACTACAGAAATCGATAGTTCTTTGAGAAAATGTCACCATAACATCATCGTGTGTCTATACTTTGGTAGAATTTTAACCAAGGACTGTAGCTCTCGAGAAAATATAAAATCTATACTTTCAGCAGTGTAATAATCTCAGATAGGTCTCTGAATGGGCCGACATTGATTTTCCCTCCGTATTTTTCTGAATCATTGGAATATTGAGCTTTCCGCCTATTTTTCTCAATAATTTTTCCCTATAGTTTGTCATTAAATTCAGTGATATATCAAACAAGTTATGTATTTCGCAAGATTTTTTTTTTATTGTTCGTAATGAAAAATTAATGTTTACATTTGGCAAAGTGAACATCGATCTGTGAAGAAAGGGAAAGAAAATGAACAATTAAGACCCTGTCTGCCATGGTGTAACAGTTTTGAAACCAATACAGTCTGCCATAGTATAATTCAGTTTTGAAACCTGCACCACAGTGAAACTTTTAAGTTATTATTTTCAGTTTCAGGGGGCACAACTTCCATGTATTCTATGCTTAATGAGGGTGACCTTCCGCCCGTCCAGGCACTGAGAATACAGACCCCTGACACAACTTCTGGATATATCTCTATGTAACATTGTCATTTAATGGGGTGACAACATCTAAACAACTGCTTATATAATTTCCTCTGGAAATATTATTTTTATTATTTGTCCTTTCAATAAGGTCAGGAATAACTTCTAAAAAATCTTTAATTTTGTCTTCTTTGGTAATGTGTGCAGGGGTGGGGCAGAGAGGGGTAAGGGATGGGGGTACAACTAAGAAAATCCCAATATAATTGCTTCTGTTTTACTTTATGTAAAATCTACATAATTCTGTTTGATTTAAGTGTCCATGGGGGGTAGGGGGGGTGAAAGTGTCAAAGAAACACATAATTAATCCCTTAAATCCTTAATCCCCCGGCCATGAAAATTTTACAAAACTAAGAAAACAACATTTTTTTTCTCAGCTTATGCAGAAATGATGGCCATTTCATTTATATACCGGTACATCATTCTCTATTGAAAACTTGAACTGTCACAGTAACAAAATGAAAAATGGCCGGCTGAATCAGTGTCTATTCTAGTATTTGATGAGGGGGACTATTTTATCGAAGAAAAGTGAGAATTAATTACATTTGTTGATCATTTTCCGTCTTTCTCTATGTAAAATTTCCCAAAAATAGTTTGGAATTCTCAAAAGTAGGAGTGAATCCCCCCACCCCCCCCCTCCTAGAAGAGACACTGTGGTTATATTTGCAAAAAGAGAGCAAACACAAACCTTAATTTTCAGTCTACAATATGAAGTGATTAAAACAAATCGATTTGCTTGTTTTAATTGTATTGAAAAAAGTAACAAAAATTTAACAGAGAAACTGAAAACAATATAAGCAAGAAGATTAGCACAAGAGAGGATACACAGTCCAGGGACTATAAGCTATATATTCTGCAGATGTGTTTTCTCTGCTTCGCCTATCAATATTCATTATCTATGTTCTAGCAATTTCACTTCTCCTAATTTTGCAAGTCTAGAGGGAAATTTCAGCTGCAACATGAAAATGATTGACTGAATTTTAACCAGTTATAAACCAGTAATACATCATTCGAAAAGAACTTTGTACGGAATTGCTTTCTCTTTGAATTTCTAAATGTCTATTTGGTTAGAAATGGGGGTATATCAAAAATGCTAAAAGTAAGAAACTATAAGGTCAGACTGGAGTAGAAACCGGAAGGTCAGACTGGAATAAACAATTGCAAGGTCAGACTGGAATAGAAGATGCAAGGTCAGTTAGCTTTGAAAAACCAACATCTGCAAAGTTCTGAATTAAGACAGTTAATATTATGTTACAAATATGACACTGGGACAGGGCTATTTTCTTTTATCCAAGCTGTATATTTTATATAACTTTTGTAGAACACCATTATGTAATGCTTTAAGTACTACATGTATATTACAACTGTGAAATTTCTCAGTTGTCTACGTGTCTCTCTGAAGAGCCATGAAATTGCTATTCAAGGGTGCTACTCAGAAGAGCCATGGAATTGTTATTCAAGGGTGTTTCTCAAAAGAGCCATGGAATTGCTATATAAGAGTGTTCCTCAGAAGAGCCATAAAATTGTTATTCAAGCGTGTTTCTCAGAAGAGCCATGGAATCAGGGTGTTTCTCAGAAGAGACATGAAAATGTTATTGAAGAGTGTTTCTCAGAAAAGCCATGGAATATTGTTATTCAAGGGTCTCTTGTCTTTGATCAGAAGTTCCAAGTTCATTGCACACAATGATTGCCCTGAACTGTGCCACTATAAACTCTGTCTATTTTCTATGCCTAATTAAATACAATTATTATGAAACAATTAAATGCACTAAGTAACATATAAATCAGCTTCACACTGGGCCTATCAATTTCCTGATAAATATCAGCTAAGGCACCTGATTGTAACTATCCCTCTAACAGAGATTGCCCACTATCTGATGTAAGTACTAGTATATTTATTGAGGGTTAATTGCAAAACTACAGTACCTTAAATGAAATACAGAAGGACTTACAACTGTATTGCATTCAACCCTTGATATGCTATATATATACTGTTTTTCTTCAATTTTCAGGTGAGCATCGTGTCTAGGAGTCAAGATGGGCATGATAACAATGACTGGCTGCTGATAAGCCAAGCCACACAAGACAGGTATCTTTTCCACCTGGCTACTTTTGATGTTAATTCTGAAGAGATTTGTTGGTTTTGATTTCAATAAAATTGATCTCCCTTGACAGAAATAATGCATAGAAGTCAATTTGAGCCAAAATGACTGTACAATAACATTAACTATTAAGTAAAGGAGTTAGCTATAAACATGGCTGTTAAAAAATTTATAATAATTTTAATTGGGACACAATGGGAAAAATTGACAATTTTGTGCTTAGAAACTGATAGCTTTTGAACAAATTACCTTTTTACATGGTCAAGAGTCTGCATTTGATCTGAGAGGACGTGTGGAGTTTGAAGCCCATTTTACAACAATAAACACTTTCAGGCTGTTTCAGCGCAACTTAAATTACTATTATATATATTATATACCAAAAGCCTGCTGGCCATAACAGATTCGATCCATGCCACCAGTGTGGCCAAGACTTAAGCCAGCAAATCTTGTGTATACATGCAGTCAGTACATATTTTGAAATCTTTCATGCAAGCAATTAATGGTTTTGTCCAGATTGAAACATTGGCAAGTCAGACCATTTACAGTGTTACTGTATAATAAAGTTATATATCTTATGTAAAAATGATTATTTGAAATTTTTTTGTCTGAAATAAGATTATGAAAAAAAATATAATAAACTGTACTGTTGATAAATTTTACAAAAGTATTTAAAAAGATATATATATAGCTTTTTACCCTTTCTATTTTATTTGAACACAGGGTAACTATTAACTCTAATACCCGGAACTTACGACAAATGTGTGTATTTCATGGAACACTATTGTTCACTGATCAACAAGTTACCCATACAGGATGTTCGTTTGACCCGAGACCTTGGGTCTTGACCCGTGAAAATTATCAAAAGAACTCATTTGACCCGTCATAAAATCAGCTTGTGTGTCATTTTTGCCATATTTTCGAAGTAATTATATAATTTGTTTGCACCCCATGAATAAAGGGGGAAATATTCACATTAAATTTTGCAGAGTTCCTGAGTACATCTCTAATGCAACTTTTGTCTAAGAATGAGGATAAAACAAAAAGATTATTTAAGCTTACCTTATTGAGAGTGTTCACAATATTTAGTGTTTTCTCTTCGTTATCATTATAATCCATTTTATCACCACTAGGGGGCGCCAAAATGGATGATTGCAGTCACATGACTGATCAAATATAGCTGAACCTGTAAATAAATAAACGTTTAAAGTAAAATGGACAAATCTGTGAAGAAGTTAAGACAATTAAATCAAAGTAACGTTCCTTTGAACTATCATTTCCAGCGATTTTTTCCCCTGAATTGTGAATGGGTCAGGTACCATAAAAATTGTGAAAAAAGCGTTGTTTCTTAACAGATTGTGAATTTTTTAATTAAGATTGATAATATCTTATCAAGCAGTAAGAATATATAATTTTTGTTACGAGACATTTTGAATGATGTTTACAGAAATTACCAGACACTTGTTTCAGTATTGATTCGTCCCTAGAAGTTTCGTATTTAAACAGTACGCAAATTTAAAGGGCGAATGCACCGAAAATCATGGTTGGCTAAACGCATTTTAAGATAAACAAAGCACAACAGGCAAAATTCTAGCATCATTATGAGAAGAGAAGAAATAATACATTATTAAAGGCTTAATCAGAATTGTGAAATTTCATCAGAATTGTGAACAGCTCCTTCGGACCCAGTCTGAAAATTGTGAAGGTCCGTTTGTGATTGTGAATGGGTCCGTTATTCGGTACCACTTATATAGGGAAAAAAATCGCTGATTTCATTCAATTTGATTTTGTGAGCATAGCACGAAACAATCACCGTCAAATTGGTAATGTCATAATTATGAAACAAGGTTGTCAAACCGGGAACCATTTTTCTATTTTTTCGTAACAGTGACCTTGACCCTGATCCTAGGGGGCCCAAAGGCAATCCCAAGTAACGTCTCCACATAAGCTTGCTTAAACACCAAGTTTACAGTATCTTGTTCCAAACGGTACACCACCTGTTTGACACTAGCCCAACTAGTATGAACTACCCAACCGCCCCCACACCATTTTGTAACACTTAAACCAGGCCCAACAAAGTTCATCTGTCCAATTTATAAAATATTCATTTCTTCCACTATCCTGTGACGTTTGGCTCATGTTCACAGCAATCACCAGGACTTTTTTTTCCTTCTATAGCAGGGGCTGTTATAGGGCTGCTTCCCCCAATAAAAAATTCTTTAAAATCATGCAGTTTCCCCAAAGAATTGAATTTACATCAAGTTATTTCTTCCCCTTTTGCAAATAATATATCATGAAATTTTTCCCCAAAATAAAGGGCTGGGCTGCTTCCCCAACCTGAGAAAAAAAAGCCCTGATCACCCACCCATACTGCCATTGGGTCCGACATATTTACTCACCATACCAACCTGTACAAAAATACCATGGGATATGTGGGCTTTACTTCCCCCCCCCCCATACTGTTATGGGTATAGGGAATGGCTCATTATCTTTACTCCCCCCTCAACTGCCATTTGAAGCTAGTCAAAATATTTTGATGTGTCAAAGATAGATTCTGGGATATTTCTGTTCTGGGTCAAAATCTCGCTCAGCGGATACACAAAATAGCACGTAGTACAATTAGTTGGGCTATGTGTGTGGCTTAATTACAACCCTAGCCACATACGGACAGATTAAAAGATTAACGGTTTATATTAATTCATTGAACAACTTACAGTATAATGACCATATGCCTTAACATTTTCAACATAACTTGATACAATCCACTATTGTTCAGAACATTAACGAACATATTTACATTTGAAAGCGCTTAACATAAGTAATATATGTTATGTTTACGTATTGTGTTTAATTCTGGTGTTCTAAAACGTTAGTCATTAAACTGTTAAAGCCATTACATTTCGTATAATGACCACAATATATATAACCATTAAAATTGTACTTACTTCTTTATAAATCTACATTTTTGGCCTAAAATAAAGATGTAAACACATGTTGTATATAAAATTCCGTTACATTTAATCGATCGTCGGCCATTATTGTGCCAATTAACATAAATTACACGTGCGCAGCCGCAGCAGCCTAGTTTACGTTATCGGGCATTTCCGTGTGTCAGTTCGGTACGCTCCGTAACGATTTTTTCACTGTGTACAACAGTCAAACAAACTAACGTACATCGAGAAGCACCGTGTAGTGGTGGTTAAAGATATAGGTTTATAATTAATAAAGTTCAATGATAACCGCCATATGAACCATCCAATATAAAATAGTGTTTACCAAAGCCACATTATTGGGGGTAAATACAGTTTAAAAGTCAGTGCTATGGGACATGAGAGGTGTTGTACATTTTATTATCTCCCCTGAAAAGACTTCTTCAATTTTCACCATTTAACTTTGTTTGTGTTGCTAAAAAAGTATCCCCAACATTCCGGAGATTTAAGCGTGGTAAAAACATTAATTTAGTTGTAACAATGTAAATAAAGTTGACATTTTGCAGATTTTTCTATTCTATATTTTATATCAAACACCATTTCATTTTATAAATTTACATGTTGAGCTCTGCTTAAGCTATTGCTAGGGGTATAGGCAGAGCTTGCATTTACAGTGTCATAGATATTAAGGAATTTGTCCCTTTCATGCATGTACATGCAGGAGCAAAGTATGCTAAGTTTTTTGGGCTTTTTTGTTGTCTTTTTATGACATATTGAGTAACAGACCTAAAGCCCTTATACCTGGAAAAACATAAAGTCGTCTTGCTTAAACAGGCCGTTTTCCCTAGCCAACTAGCTGGTTCCCCTAGCCAAAAATGCTGCATTTTCTACTAAGATGAAGCCATGATTTTTCGCCTTGAACAGAAAAAAATATGTAACTGCTTTAAGAAAAAAGTTAAATGAAAAAGAAAATCGAAAATTGAAATTGAAATGGAAAATTAAATGTAACATTATCTTGTGCAGTTGTTGGTGTTTGATTACTGCATTGAATCCCCCCCTCCCCCCCCCCCACACACACACACATTGCGGTCGTAGGAGGGACAGGGCAGACCGTATGTTTGGACGGGGCGGACCATATTTTTGGACAGGACGGACCGTGACTCGAGACGAGGCGGACCATGTATATTTTCAAATTAATTATTGCTATTTAATTTTCTATACACAAACATGTATATATTTTAGCATCATTATCATCCTAAACATGTTGTATATATAAGCATTTTCATATTGAACAGATTTGTATTTAGATATTTAAACATCGGTCTAATACTAGTTAGATCTACATATGTATGTATTAATCATGTGCACACGACATAAGGCGGATTTTGGATTAATCTAACATAATATTTAATATTATAGACAATTATAAGTATAAAATAGGTTGTGTAACTTAATGGGAATGGTTTGAGAAAAAAATCTCATATATAAAACATGTTTTCCTTTTGTGCTAATGTTAATATAAACTTGAAACAATTACCTTAATTGTAATATTTTTTATATATACCATTCACAACATTTAAGCTGTTTAGAGGAATATAGCTTATTTATATTTCTACTTAATTATAATATGAAAACGAAGAAATAATTGATATACAATGTATATTAATTCACTAAACAGTAATCATCTTAATCATCTTAATTAATTAAGGCAGAGCACAAAAACCAATTCTAATGTAAACTAACTCGTCAAAGAATCAAACTGAGGAGAATTCAACACAAGTCAACCAGGAGCATGCAGTTAAATTTCATGAAATTATGGCTATAATATTCCAACAAGACATCATTTTTTATAGCTGTTCAAGTCGTTATGACCCTGTGTAATTATGGGTGTAAATATGAATGACCGAATATATATTACAGTGAAAATATCGATATACATGCGGCTGCTTTTATATATATGTTCTTCGTTACATGTTCGTGTATATATATGTAAAGAAAAAAGTGAGATGCCATTCTTAAATTTTCGGGCATCTCCTTAATTTTATACTGCAATGATTGACAGGCCTTATGCTCCCATACAAACTGCTGCTTCAGAAACAGCTTCCTGTCTCATATCCTTGCATTAAAGCAAACCAACTTTCTATCTTACTGTCAAATTTATTACTTTTATATATGACAAAACCAACATAATGGGTTTGCTACCAGCATGGATCCAGACCAGCCTGCGCATCCGCGCAGTCTGTTCAGGGCTTACCAACACTATTGCAAGTAGAGAAACTAATAGTGAACAGCACGAATCCTGATCAGACTGCAAAGATGCGCAGGCTGGTATGGATCCATGCTGGTCGCAAACCCATTATGTTGGTTTTGTCATGACGCGGCTCATATATATATTGTTGTTTCAAGAGCATTCGTTGTTTAATATTAAACACTTCTTCTTGTCTGAAGTGTAGTGATTTTAACAAGTTTGCGCTGGCATTTTCTTTTTTACTTTCATATAATTATGCAATAACCTGCTGAAATTCTCTAATGCACTTTTCCAGAATCCAGTTATGAAACTGTCCACCTATTTTAAGGTTAAAGTTTAGGTCAGCCTGTTAACAATACACAGTCTTGTCAGAAAGCACTGTAATTATGACAGGACTGTCCTGCCGAATTACATGTATGTGTTTAAGTGATAGCATAGCTATCTTGTAATGTAGCAATTTATTCTTCAATGGTTTGTTAAGAAACACTGACCTACATAGAGATAAGTTAATACATGTACATTTATTTCAGTCAGAATTTACTGACTTGTGTAAAGACGAAAGTTGTCAACTGCTTCTAGTAACAAACGGTAGAATAAAACACAAACGAAGAAGTTTTTCAATCAACACTTTATATAAATATTGAAAAAAACAACAACAAAATTACAAGAAGCATTACCAAATATATAAAGGAAGTGTGAGATTGCAATACGGTTTTTATGCAGATCATATCTTACAAAACCTAAATTGGGAATTATAAAGCCTACGAAAGCTTAAAAGCTACATCCCTCCAGGTGAGTAAAAATATTTCAATAAAATCAAACTTGAGAAAAATGTAGTAAGATGTAAGGAAAAATAAAAGTTTCAAGATTCAAGTAATATTTTACATATTATGTGCGATTAATGACTGATTTTTCAGTATTTACAACTATATTTCTACTGCGTTACTAACACAGTAAAGGCTATTTATGCATATTTTGACCACTTTTGGTAATTTACGTGGTTTGTAAGTGCCATTTGATAACATGTCAATTGCTTCCTTTTGGTAACTATACAATATTTAAATGACACATTCAAATACATTTTCAAAATTTTCATGAAAATTAGCATGAATCTGGAGGCATGCTGCTTTAAATCATACACAAGACAGCTACAGATTTTACATATGATAACATGTATATGGTCATGGTATCCCATTGTAACATAGCCAGCGATTGGCTGAAGAAAGCGCATGATTCAATTTATACATGGGGTGATTGGATGAAAAAGTTCAATGAAATGGGGGGTAATCCTCTTTGAAGTCATTTTGCAAAAAATTTGGTTGGCTACCCCTATATAACAGGAACATTTCTATGTGTCAGGCATTTCATTTAGCTAGAAAAATCACCTCTTTTACATGAAAACTCAATTTTAAGGTAGGATTAGGGACCATTTCTTATAATATAAGTCTATGGAAATATCAATGTGAGTGTCTGACCATATACCTGTGAAATAGGATGGGTATAATATTTACGGTAATCTAATGTTAACAGTTAATCAATAAGTTATGAGTTTTGAAATTATTGCCATTAGGTGGTTTAGGAGATGTTGTGTTCAAAGAGAAGTTTGAACGGACAGATGCCAGACCATGAGTTACCACAACAACTCACCATTGACAACAGCTAAAACAAATTACCTTTTGTAACCTCCAAACGATTTTTAAGAATTACAATAGTAAATGTTCCAAACATTTTAATGCACATCATTAATTAAATTTTTTTTTTTTAATTAAATGTATTCAATACATGTCTTTCATCTACAATAACAGTAAATAACACTGTAACAATTAATATTATACTTTACATAAATTTGTTCATTCTTCACTTATATAACTGTAGTAGAGCCTTTAATTAGTTCGACAAAAAAGTGTGAGAGTGGAAGGTAACAAGAACTACGATTTTATTTATTTAATCATGGCATATTACATGCATGTGATTAAAACTACAAAGAATTTAAAAAAGATTAACAAAAACATGATGAAAGGTTCATGGACCATTACATTTGAGCATACAAACACTTATCGAACAATGTGAAACATATATACAGATTCCCTGAATAAAAACAAAACAATAACATCTATTTTATAATATGTAGTTCAATATTCAATATTTGGACCTTTATCATTTCTAATATACATAAATGACATAGCTTTCATTGGTAATGATATAAAAATTGATTTATACGCAGACGATTCTACTCTTTACGAGTCAAGAGAAAATAGATCAAAAGTAGAAGTAAAACTTCAACATCATTTAAATAATCTTGAGAAATGGTGCAAAATCAATATGGCCTTAAAGGCACATTATTTCTTAGAAAACAATATATTGTTAATTCTTTAGAAATGTCAAATATTTGTTAAATAATATTTTAATAATGGATTTAGAGCATATTAGATGTTTAATAACTGAAGAAATTTGCGCTGAATGTGCAGTAATGTGTGGGAAAGGTAGCACAATGTAAACAAAGTAGTATTTTGACTTCCATACAAAATACTCATACATAATTTTCCCTCCAGAATGTTACAGGTCATTTTGAAAATTAAAACAAAAAATGCTTGATAATATAATAACGTTTTCCCAGCTGCAAAATTCTACAACTGTTAGACACAGTGAAATGCGTTAAATAGTTCCAATCGAACTCAGCCAGTTAAATCTAACCTTGACCTCGAAAGGTTACACATTTGTCGGTGAATTGTTTCAGGGAAATAAACAGTTATTTTGGTAAACAGTTGTATGAATTACGCAGAACGTGCTGTTGTCGCTAAAAATATTTGCTGCTGTCGCTAAAAATAATTTAGGTTAGAATATATAAACTAGTCACTCAAATTATGGAATCAGTAAAGCACTGTTGTTCCGATACAAACGCATCAAAATTCAAATATTCGGATATGGCGTGTTCGGATAACTTACATCATTGTGGGGACACGGATGATATGGAAACACACGAGAGTGGTCATTCAGCTCTTAAATCACTGAAGCCCCCAGCTACACTTGATGACCTTATAGAGGGCCTTCATAAAATATTTGCCTATGATAAAGTAAATGTGGACTTTGTAAAATCATACATGGGCATGTATAAAAGCAATTACAAAGAATGGAAGAAGTATGCTAAGTGGGATGTTCACAGGTATTTTTTTGTCATTTACTGTACATATTGTCCATTCTGTTATTTTGAAGAAATCTAGAAATGTGTTGTAATTTATTTTAGATAATATTTACACAGGGAGCTTTGAATATTCATGCTTGACAGATAATGAGATACCTAATACAGGTTGTCCAATTATTCATAACATGTTGGTGAAATATTTAAAAGAAAGAAAAAAAGGAGAAAAAACAGGCATACAAGTTGGCATGAAAAAAATGATTTAATTAGTAATTACAATGTAATCTTTTAAAGTTTTTTTCTTCTCTTATTTTTTTTCTTTTCTTTTTCTTTTGTTTTGTTATAAATTCTCTTATTATCTGCAGTAGGGAATCAGTGAATTCTCTAAAAAAATAATGACAGTTTAATTAAAATGAAACAAATACAATTAATTTGTTAAATTGATATCTTAATTTCTTTACTTTGGAAAACATCATCACATACTGCATGTTAAATCACACCAGTGGATTATAATTTTTGGGGGGTAGATGCAGAATTGTTTATTGATATCAATGCTTCAATATTTTTTTCTTCTTCTTTTTTTTTTTTTTTTTTTTTTTTTTTTTTTTTCTGGTTCAGGACTCTTAATTCACAATTTTTCGAGCTGAAATACTGCACCTTTCTCCCCCTACAAGAATGTATTTTCCCCCCTTTTATTCATTTTTTATATATTCTCATAAAAAAGAGAGACCTTTCAGAATATTATTCTGAAACTTGCTTTTGCAAAATAAAAAAAAATCCCTGGATATGATTTTTGATAATTATGCCTGCATTTATTTTATATTTATCAATTTAAAGATAAAAGATTAGAAAAGAATACATATCACTTAAAAGTTAAAACTGTCTTGCACCAGTTTAAGGTTATCATGGTTTTATGTCTGGGACATTTATATATATGCATGTATGTCTGATAGAGAATTTCATTGTTTCTTTAAAGGGACTCCACTGAGGTTTAAAAGCCTAAAAACATAACATTTGAATTTCTTACATAAATTAGCTGGGGCACTTTAAACAGAAATATATGTAAAGATAGTTAAGAAATATATTTTGAAATAAATTGAAAATCGTATTTTTATACTTTTTTTTCCTGATCGATTTGGGTAAAAAACGTTAAAACGCATTTTATTTTTGATCATTTTTTTTTTTGAATATTGAATAATTTTTCTGGAAAAACGAAGTGCGCAAATAATTTGAAATTTTGCACGAAGATGGTGGTCTAAACTTACATCAAATGGTACATTTAAATGGAAAAAATATTTTCAGTCCCATCATGTCAAAAAATCTCAGTGGAGTCCCTTTAATTATCGGCAAACACTTTATTGTGTCGCCTTGAAAAAGGCGACATAATAGGGGTTACTTTTGTTGTCGGCGTCATTGTCGGCATCCCCTTAAGCTTGTCCGGAGCATAAGCCAGTACTTATCTATCTTTACTCTATGAAATTCTCACTAAATATGTCTAATTTAAATTAAAGAATGTACAAGCTATGTTTCACAGTGTGAGAAGCTACATTCCCTGTTACATGAAAAGTCAAGTCAAGTAAAATGTGTCCTTTTTTTAAAAAAACAAAAACTGCCATTTGTTTTTAATGATATATTCATATTGTGATCACCTAGAGACCTTGTTTTAGAATTTTAAACAAAACATTATCTACATGCACTTTATGTGAAGTCAAAACATGTTTATTTTATATTTACAAAGAGACTGTGTAGCAATTATCAATATTTTCTTTTATCAAATTTAAGCATCGTTTATATTTAAAAAAGACCAAGATCATCCTATATATCTGGGTGGACAAATGATATTTTGATAGTTAACTTTCAGCTCTGTTTGTATCTTTGCTTTGATGTTTCTTAAACATTTTAAAGACAGCTTAATTTTTGGATTTTATCAATTTAAAATGAATTCTGAATCCATTATAAAAGTTGATAAATTATGACTTTAAGGTTGAGAAACTAGTGCTAATGTAAGATTTGTACCTGATTATGTAGCAGATTTAAACCCACTAATGGCTTTATCATTAGTGACCTAAAACATGTGATTAATGTGTGATGACTGTTTGATGATTTGTGACGGAATAAGATATTGTAACATATTTACGCAGTAGCAGTAATTCAGTTCCTTGATCTGACAAAAGTCACACTACTACAGGCCCCTATGATTATAATTTTTCTAAAAGAAATATTTTTGCTGTAATAAAATTAATTCTACCTTATTGTGCCATTTGGACATAAAATACTTGGAACTAAGCTATTTTCCTTAATGCTATGGTTCATGGTAATGATTTGAAAATTTGCAAATATTGACCGTCTCCAATTGTTTAACTTCATGACATGTATGTTTCCTTTATATATTGAGGCACATTCTGCCAAAGAAATTACTGTTTTTCCTTCTTCGGGGAGGACATAATTTTATGCGTGTTTTATAATGTTGTAATAATCAATTAAGAACATGTTATTGCCTGAAGAAAGTAGTGTCAGAATGTGTAATTTAAGATTTATAGTGTAGCAAAAGTGGTGTTGTATACAAAATATTAAATCACTATAGCTGCACTAATTGCAAAAAATGCGGAAAAAACTGAGATAGCTAGTGCGTTATATAACAGGGCACCAAAAATAAAAAGCTTTTGAAAAAAGAAAACGGTAACAATTTTGAGGTTTAATAATAATATTTTATGCTTGAAATAATAATATATTGAATTTGATGAATGTGGGACAGGGACATATGTTTCTGTTTTCTGAAAGATTAGTAGATATCTTGACCGGAATGAATATACATGTACATAAAAAAATCAACATATTTACAATGTGACAGCTGTGTACCACCACTAGAGGTTTTAAGAAAGAAAAAAACTAGTACTAATATCAGTCACAGACTGTCTTGTTGTTTGTATATGTGCTGGAAAAACTCATCTGTCTTGCCTATTTAGGCTTGAGCCAGAACAATATCTGTGATGACTGTAAATGTAAGATTATCATAATCTTCCATCAAGAGGCTTTACTTTGATAGGGCCTTTTTTCATAGGTTGGGGAAGCAGCCCTGCCCTTAATTTTTGGAGAAAATTATATGGGTTATTTTGCAAAAGGGGAAAAAAAACTTGGGGTAAATTCAATTTGGGAAAAACTGCATGTTTGTAAAGAATTTTTATTTTGGGAAGCTGCCCAGGCCCCTTAATTGGCCCCTGCCATTGAAGGGAAAAAAACCTGTTTGACCCTCATGTATTGGCTGAAATACAAACTTAATTGGATATTAAACATCATGCTGTCTGTACATGTAATGTAATACAAAAACAATATATTTAATTTATTAATATTTTGAAGATTCTACTGATATTTTAAAAGAAGTTAGAATAAAGATATGGGTCAAGAACAGCCAACAAAATAAGCTGAAAATAAATTGAACAGGTACTTTCATAGATAACAGATACAATGTAACCGTGTTACTTGTTAAATGCAGGATTAACCGAGATGTTTTTTAGTAACACAAAAATGAAATGAAATTTTTTTGAAAGGTATGAATGAAATTTAGGTCAGTTAAAAGTGCACCAACCCAAATTTTCAGAAAGTTCATAAGGTGAAAATATATGCTTTTTAAAAATACAAATGTACATATATCTGCTTTGGTTGAGAAACTCTGTTAATAAAGGTTTGAATAATTAATAATTGGTAATAAATTATTTTTTCAGCTTTCTAGGAAAGAAAACGTAGTATTATACATTTACTATATAAATATGCCTTGTAGACATATACTGTATAACTTAAAGGAAAAGTTGATTTGTTTCAATTTTTTCTTGTTTATTTTTTTTTATCACACAATAGGATCTAAAGATTGTTTTTTTTCATCAATGTTTTCTAAATTTGCACTGTTTTTCTGACCCTAGAGTGCATTTCATTTTCATTAGCTCACCTGAGCATAATTTGCTTACCGGTATGTTGAACTATGAATTAAGAACCTTCCTCTCATTCTGTTACTGTCGTCAGTGCAAGGTGAAAACGTTGCCTATTTTGAGATGTTTTGTATTCCAACCAGTGTTACTAATATGAGCCGCGTCACGACAAAACCAGCATAATGGGTTTGCGACCAGCATGGATCCGGACCAGCCTGCGCATCCGCGCAGTCTGATCAGGATCCATGCTGTTCGCTATCAGTTCCTGTACTTGTAATAGGGTTGGTAAGCGAACAACATGGATCCTGATCAGACTGTGGGGATACGCAGGCTAGTCTGGATCCATGCTGGTCGCAAACCCATTATGTTGGTTTTGTCGTGACGCAGCTCAATTATTTGATTCAAGGGAGAATTTTACTTGGTATGGACACAAAGCTGGGAATTTTCATTCATCTTAAATGTTCTATACTTAACATGTAATACATGTATAAAAAAATTCTTTTCATTAATCATTGTAAGTGATTAGTACTTTTGTACATTTAATTAATGCGTAAAAAACTTGAACTATGCCTGACAGAAAATTTATGACCTCCATTAACCTGATTTTTTTAAGTCAAACTTAAATTGTTTGTTACACTTTCTTATATAGAATTATCAGAAATATGTTTAGGGCTTCAGGACATGAATTCATTAATTGTTTCTTCACCACTTCTGGTACAGATCCCCAAAATTCTGTCTTTAATTAATCTATGTGATACCAGTTTTGCTTGAAATTAATTGCACCAAGGGGCATATAATAATATGGTCTTCATGAACTTAAAATTTGAAAGTTGCAATATGGCCTTAACGATGTTTGTTTGGAAAAAAAATCTTTATCTATCGCCTGAATGTGGCTTTGTGCTACAAAGTAAAGAGGAGTAGCAACTTTGACCATTTGGATAAAACTTTGTACATGACCAATTCCATGCATCTTTGACCAATTCAATGCATCTTTGACCAATTCAATGCAGCTTCGACCAATTCAATGCAGATTTGACAGATTTGATGCAGGTTTGACCGATTCTATATGCAGTTTGAACAATTCAATGCAGCTTTGAAAGG